AATTTGTGTAGGTAGATTTGTAAACAAATGCTGATTTAGAAGAAGGTGCACTGCCCGATATTGGCTCGATTTCGCAAAGTAGGAGGACGAAAGCAATGAACACGGTTTTTGAAGGATACGCGTTTCGGAGCTAGGCCATTAACATTAAAGACCGTAAATAATGGTGACGAGCTCGCGACCCAAATCGTCGATAGGAGATCTGTGTCCCGAACAGCTTAAGATTCGACGCGATCCAACGCGGGATGCCAAATGATCGTACGTAGAAAGCACAAGTTGGCACAACGTTCCAGCGTACTGGTAGAAACGTTACATCGGTGCATTGACCCGACATTTCCTGAGAAATGTTATCAAACCAGTATCGATTACACGCGGGAAACCCCCTTAAGGTATATCTACGGTCGTAACGGAACAGCAAGCATAACGTCTGTAATATCTAGGCTGCGTCCTGCTTGCAACATCTTCGCGTTTTTCGAGTCCATCCCGGCCGGTTATTACGAAAGTAATAACCACGGACTATAACCGTTGTAACCAAAATGAATACCCGTTACATTTTGGTTACCGATCGACTCATGCTCCAGGCTACGAATTACAGTTATCGACGACGAGAATGTTAATTCGTTACGAATAACAATTGCAATCGATGGAAATGGCTTCTGGTTACGAATAACCATTATCGACGAGCAAAATTTCATAATGGCTACTTTGCTCGAATATTTGACTCGGGCAAAGTTTATTTCGGAGGAGCGCGACGTATTTATCCATTATCCATGAGTGGTTTCTCGTCTTAGTAAATATTTTCAAATTCAAACTTTCTCCGCGTACGCAAACACCGCGTCATCCGCGTCCTACGAGCTCCTCGTCTTCCTAACTTTCGTGTTATTTTTCAACAATAAGTATTCGTTGATGGAGCGTCGCGAAATTCCAGTTGAAAAAATAGAATTTTTCGTGTATCGGAATTAAACGGTAAACGCGTGATGCCAGGGGTGGAATTAAGGGGTATCGATTCGCGTCGGTTTCGAGAGTCGACACTGTCGATTCATTCGAGTACGCCGATCGGGAAGCAGTCATTGAAACAATAGTCGACGCGGCGGGTATAATAACGGGCTTCGAGATATGCGTGACCTGAATTATGAAATTGTTGTCATTCGCGACAACGGGGATCGAACGAACGCCGTCGCCGGTTTCGTGCGTTCGTTGCATTCGACGGGATCCGCTTAAATAACTAATGAGAAAAACGAACGGTATTCTTCCGTCGCGGCGACACGCGAACTGTTCCCCCGACCGAACGCGATCGAGAGGGATAAAAACCAAACGCGAATGCATGATCTAACGACAACGACTCGAAATAAAAGGAGACTCCAACAGTTTTTTTTTTACAAAGCGATCGAACTGACTGTTCGAACGATGTCGACGAACTGTGCTGTTATTGGCGTAATTAGCCTATCTTTTCGAGGCGGCAAGTTCGCGATTCGGACGACGTTCGCCGGCCTTCGAAAACATCGACTTGCGAGTAATTTCTACTCGTATGAACAGAGAAGACTACAAAGGTGTGTTAGGAAAAGCACCAGCCACCTGTTTCCGCCGTTACGAGGCTAGAAATTTTACCTTCATGCATGACAACGCGGCCATCCGTAGGAAGATGGACCGTATAACCGGACAAGACGGCGAAAAGACGATGGACCCTAAACCGAATTAAATTTATACGAAGCTCGGTGTTTCACGCAAGCTCGAAACGATCATCGCGTAGACTCGAATCTATTAACTTTGTAGGATGACACGGTACACGGGACCGTGAACACGCTAACACGGTGTCACGATGAAATATGTTAATTAAAGCTATACCGCGCTCAGAGAGTAGTAGACTTTGAGCGGTGAAGCTGTTGATAAAGAGGCGGGTCGATGTAAAGGCGGTAAACGCGAACGGTCGAAAATGCATGACCCAAATTATCACCACGTGACCTCTACATCACGATAGAACGATCATTTACAATTAACGGTGGATAATCTGCAGCATCTTTAGAACGAATCGTCGCTTGGCCTTGGGTACTTGGCCAAGCACAAACGTACGAAAATTTTGATATTTCGGATATATTTATAGAAGCATACCATCGAACGTATTTGCGTTCGATTGCGAAAGTGAGAAATCAAAATATCGACATTTTCCTTTGTTTTATGCCACATTGATTTACGGTGATTTATCGATGACTAAGGCCTCTAATCTTATAAAATATGTTTCAGATAAGAGTACTCGAGTTCGTTGAGAAACGGGTAGAACGTTACAAAGAAATTAAAAGTGTCGATGACCTTCTAAATCACGGTTCAAAGCAAAGTACAGTGGAACATCGATTATAATTATCCGAATGACCGATTATCAAGCATCCTATAAACCTTTATGCACGTTAATAGAATTTTCTCGTTTATAGTATTAAATAAATTTATGTTCGTTGAGTTACCGCCGGCGATCTTTCGTCGGAGGGCTTCGAATTTAATAAAGTTTCTAAAGAGCGAAATACAGTTGAAAATATGCACGCGAGACGGCGTAATGACGTCGAGATCCGGTTTTACGACTTTTTGTTTTCCAGTTTGCGTATAGGTCGAGGAAGACGAAACGCGAAGGAGATGCAAATAATTTACATTAACTTCTAAATCCGGGTATGCTCGCGGATCCGCGAAATCGAATGCATCGATCTGCTCCCCGCCATGCTCTGATTATCCTTTATTGTTTGCCAATTGATTTTCGGTGTTAAACTTTCGAGCATCGAACGCGTTAGGATTTTTTCTCGCGTTACGAACAAGTCGCGGCGCGATGCAACGAACGCACGCGATCTATCCGAGTCACGGAATCGAAACATCGTTGATACTGCGATTAGAATGTTGCGACGCCAATGATTGTCACCTTTGATTATGAATCGGTGGTCGCCTGGAAACGGGGGGGAAAAAGTAACAAAACGTGCATCTAGACCGAGAATAGAAAAAATTGCAGCGCGATTAGATCGAAAGCATAAGATTTGAAATCGTTCTATTTTCGCGCTCACTGTCACAGTGGTCACTGGTGACCGGTGCTTAAAACTTGCAACGCGCGTTAAATTGTTTTCAACGGGTTAATTTGAACAAGGGGACACCAGTTTTAAGCGAGTCTTAACTACGCGATCCAGATAAACACAATCGACCTTTTACGTGCTGTGCGAGCAAAAAATACGTTGCTTGCTCTATTCGTACAATATTTGTTTCTAGCTCTAAAATAAAACGTTTATTCGCAGACTTTATATAACTTCTTGATTTCCAGATTCAGTTTATATTGATAATTCTACTTTCGGGGAACAATGTTAATTTCTAAAGTTTTGTAAAAATCTAAGGTTTCCTATGGCGAATGCCAAAATTTCGACGAACAAATTACGAGGAGATTGACCTCGATATCAAGATGCTTTAAAATAGTAGAAAAATCAATGACTGCATGCTTGGGACACGATTCGGTGAAACTTCTGTAACATTTCGTGTCATAATGCCACACGAACGCCAAAAAGTCAATAGTAAATATACACCGATGGCTGGAGTATTAGACTTTGGTATCGAACCAAGCTATTTAGACAAATAAATAAAAAAACTTCAATTTTGGGGGTATGAATTGATGTACGTTTATTCTAACAAAGTTTCATCGGATTCGTTCCTTTTCCAAATAAACATGCTCCGATCGTAACACGCATACGTACAGGATGACCAAAAATTAGTGGTACAAATAGGGTCAGGGAGATTCTCTGGCTCGAGATAAGACGAGAATCAAGAATCGCAAAAGTGCATTCGAGGCCTCGTTTTGGAGAAAAATGCTCCGATTTTTTTCAACAAGCATGATTGCTTATGTTTGGGACTCAATGTTAGACACTGTTCGCTATCAACGATCAACTCTACCTTAATGTGTTGTCAATTAAATAAATATTTCCTCAACGAGTGACAACTAACTTTTTACTTTGCTAATCATTAATTAGGAAGATCCTGTCACCTATATACGAAGTGTGAATTTTGATGGATAGTCATTTAAGCACCATCTTTGTTGATGGAGAACGAGGCCTTCATTGTTGATTTTCGTGTTATTTGGAGCCATAGAATCTCTTGCACTAACTTTGGGTGATCCTGTACAATCTCAATTAGAATGTCGTGTGTGTGTCAAAAGACGTTTGCATCCTAACGACGACTCGAGATGAACGGATTAAACGACGTAACGTTTGACGACTGGTAGACGAGGAACACGTTGTAAACAGGCATCGAAGCACACAGCTGATAGGGGAGAAGCGGATTGGCGCGAAGACGGCGAATACGAGATAGAGAATGCACGACAGGAATTATCGACGCGCGCTGCTCGAGTATACCGCTATACCAGCTTTGCGATCAAGGTCGCGAGGCGAGGGTCTTCCGATACGTATGCTTAGGAAGTCGATGGACACGGCTAAAGACGCTTCTCCGGCGATCCTACCTTGATCATTAATTCCGACGAATCCGTCTCGACGGAGTACGTTGCATCGATCGATAAAAAAAGAGCGATCGACTGCGACGGTTCTTGAACGGCACCGAGAGATCCGTTGAATATTTCAATGCACTGAAATACCCGTACCGCGACGTTTCATCCGTGGAAACGAGAACAAGAGATATTTCGGAATTCCGACAGGAAAGGGCAGCATCGATAACGATCCGAGTCTCGGCAGCGGGGCCTCGATAATCGAGTTTCTGTCAGTCCGCTGTCAAATATTCGTCGGTCACTTTGGACCGTACGGACACTGTCACGCAATCCCGAGGCAGCCTCAGCGACGAACAAACCGGCGGTGAACAGAGATCCAAGGGAACAACGGACAACGATCGTGAAGGAGACGAGTCGCGGAGTCCGTGTTCCCGATAACACAGAAATTCTTATGGAATTTCCATGGTGAACGTGACGGGGATAAAGGAGAAAGCGAGACGGAAGAACCGCGTGCTCAGTCGCGCCGACGCATCGTTTGCAGCTCGCTCACCTGCGAATCGTCCGTCTATCGGTGCGGTCAAACCTGGACTAAAATGCAGCCCCGGAGTTCGACAGGTTTCCTGTCCTTCGGTATATTTCAAACGCGAGTCCTTCGTTTCTCCTCGTTCCTTTCACCTACTGCTGGACGATCACTCTTTTCGATGGTAAAAACGTCACCTCCGCTTCCTCGTCCTCGAGCTGGTCTCGTGAGCGCAGCTCCGAGCGAAAACCCGCCAAGACACCCGGGCGTTTCGTCGTATTCGTGCACGAACAGTAACTGACAGCCTCGTCATCGAAGCGATCAGTACGGTACCTGAGCGCGCGTGCACACCAACAGACCGACTCTGACCTCGACCAATCGGAGTACGACGTACCGGATCTCGCGCATGCGCTACATTCACGCCGCGTGGCGCCATCATTTGATAACATTTCGTCAATATTATTCCTTATTTTATTTTATAATTACCTACGATAAACGCTAAATAATTATACAATTTTACAGGGATCAAAATAAATGGTAATAACGAGGTTACCCGATATCGCGTGAATATTGCTCTTTTTCTATTGGCACGTTTACCAATTTTTCCTATACATAGTCATCGGACATTCCAATTTGGAGCAATGCTTTGTAGAACCCATGGTTTTGTTAGATTGGAAAAGTTTATAATATATTAGGCAAAGTAGATGACGTGAAAACAACGCTCCTAGTTTAAAAAATATGTGTCGAGTAACGCTAATACTTATTACCTCTAATGGTACATCATAACCCAAGGAAATGTGACAAATAACAATACAGAACAGATGGTGGGTTTAAATATATGTGATTCCATCGATGGAGACCATAGAAACGCGTATTAGTCGTTCGCGTCTGTTTTATACGACGTCGGTAACGTCAAATCCTTTTTAAGCAAAATAATGTTGACGGTCCGTTCTTTGTTCTAAAATTATTACTGATCGTTATCGGAATTAGAGTCGTGTTAGATACTGACCGTGAAATAATTTGCGTGCAGCAGGTTTACGATTGTCTAACATGGATTCAAGTTTTGACGATTGTCTGCGCGACGCTGACAGATGGCAGCTGTTGTGTCATTCCTTCCAATCGGGCAATAACAAAAACGAAAATATGAAAGCTGTACCACAAACGAAGTATACGAGTAGACCTTTCACCCAATCTATTTTTTCGACCCATTTTTCTGGGGCTCTAGAACCCCATTACCATTTTCGTGTCACTCGCAACGTTACCAACAGATTTAGAAGTAAACACAAGTGGAAGTGAGACAGAAAATGAAATTACAGAAATTTTAGTATTTTTTAACGAAATGAAAGCTGTACGATTTAGAATTTCGCATCGATCGATTAATTTCATTGGAGTAACCAATCGATTAAGATTATTTAAAGATTTCAAGATTATTAAAATACGTAAAGATGTACCTTATTGATAAGCACCCTGCAAATCCTCTATTTTTTATTTTAAATTCTTGTATACCTTGTCTGTGATAATATCACAGACGAATGATTTTTAATGCTTTAATTGTAATAGACTATTATTTTTCACGGTTAATTTATGAACGTCTTCGTAGTTCTTCTGTTTATTAATCATTCAATGCAATGACAGCTTGGCTGCCCCCTAGGATATAATAAGTGTATTTTGGATATAACCGTTTGCGATCTGTCTTTTTGCCGAATATTGGCTTTGGCTCTATCTTTCCGCTATAAATATTCATGAAAATGCATTGCTCCTGTGACAGGTCCCACTGTCCATCCGCCAATACAGTTCTGTTTAAGAAATTAAGAACCATCAAGGACGACATTACGTCTGTGCCATTGAATAACACGGAAATCGTCGCGAAAGCAACCGGAAGGATCGACGACGCTGCTCGACCCTATCGTTCGCGCTCGGATCACAATCAAAGAATGTGCTCCAACCATCAAAAATTGGCTCCAACGTTTATGACAAACCGAGTGAGACATTGTCCACATCCGTCATCGCGCTTGAATTAAAATCGGTTACAATTAATGAAATACTCACGAGTTCTTAAATTGCGTTAGGTTCAGTTCTTGGAGTCCCATAACGAGCAACTGTGGGCACGCGTAAAACGACTCATGCGCGATTTAGATTTGACGGAGGCGGTTATGAAAAGAGGGGAAATGGCAAGGGCGGATTTGACGAACAGGTTGCAGGCGTACGAGACTTTTATCGCGGAAATGTTTAGGCGGTTAAACGGGACAGGGATTGTCAAGATTACGGATGAAAGTGGAAAGCAGGTTACCTTTTACTTCATAAGGTGTTCGAATACTTTCGTTAGTCGCTGCACGTGACTTAAATTCCTTGTTCGTTTTCGATTTAGATCGTTATACGGAAAGTAAAAACGAAAGAATTGTCTTATATGCGTGGCGAGAAAGACACGCTTGTTTCGATTCCGGAAATATCTCTGGTGAAAAATATAGCAAGGAGACACGCGGAGGCCACGGTGAAGTGCAAAGTCGAAAAGGTTTCGCAGGAAATGGTAAAGTTTTTCATATTTACCAGGCAAACTTAATTTGATCTTTGATCGATTAATTTTAAAACCCGAAAGAATTGCAACTGCCAATATTAATTCATGAAAATTTCTGACGAATCAGAGTACTTTGCCCGACGTATCGATAAAGATCGAGGAAACGGTGGCACAAAGTTCTGGAGACGATAGATTAGTTTCTAAAAGAGAGCACACCTACAATAGACGTCGAGACACGTACAATTTAAACGAAACCATCGATGAACCGTCGCTGTGGGTGAAAAACGAATTTCCGGAAGTGGTCCCATCCACGGTGGAAATCCCGTCGAATTCTGAGAGTCCACGGTAAGGAGGAACGCGTTTTATTCCATGTCGAAAATCGAGCAAAGCGTTGCTTAATAATTCCAGCGGTTACGTAACGAAAGAGGCCATGGGCGCGACAAACGAAGCAGACGATAATACATGCAAAGACAATTGTAAAATCGAAGAAACTAACCGTGTCGAGGGCAAGGCGAGGAAAATGAAAAACAGTGCGGTCGACGATAAAGAAATTGCGGCAAAAGTGGATCCATTCGCGGCTACGAATTCCCGCGTGTGTTGCTGCGATTGCCACCGTAATTGTTCCGCAGCGTCGATCGCGAACAAGAAATCTGGCAAAGGAAACGCGCAAGGTGAGAAGGTCAGGTATAGTTGATCGATGAAAAAAATGAAAAATAATTTTCCTTCTTTCCCTTAGAGTGGGCGCTCGAGTGCCGATGCGACTTGGAAGTGGCCAACGGAATATATCGAGTGATCGATAAAAGCGTGGAGAGCCTGAAACATTGTCTCAAAACTCATGCAACGGAAGATACGTCATCGGCGAATGCCACCCATATGGGAAAGTTAGAGCAACGGCCGGAAAATACGGTCGACGACAAAGCATTTCGATCGGTGTCGCCCACGATTTTGATAACGGGAAAGAACGATAAGGTTGCGATCATTACGTAATTATTGATCTTTGAATTTGTAGTTTCTCTTGGAACATATTATTCTTGTAGGTGTAATAATAATCGTATATTACAGATTTTAATCACAGTAATCACGACCTGAAAATATAGGAATAAAAGATGGTGAAGGCGAAAAGTAACTATAAATAATAGGAATTTCGATCGTCGTGATAATCACGATAGAAGTTATGTTTCTTTCTTCGTATCATTGAATTTGTTATATTTACTATGTGAAGGTAGAACCTTTGATTTGTCTTCATGAATGTAGAAGATACTGAAAATGTTGTCCTTTCCGATCAATACTTATGATCGTTGCTTCCATAAAAATATGTGTTTACAAGTTTGATACAATAAAGACGCGTTATTGCTGTTATTGCAACTGGTTTCTGGATCGTATCTGGTCTCAAATAAATGTATTTCAGAGCATCTCTTCCGAGCAGAAAAGCAGCCTTGAAGCGGCGTCTCGTTTCGCGTAATAATAAATATTGGTACGCGCGCGGGCAGTGCATTTTGCAGCGTGGTACCTGCGTCGTTCCTTGAATTATTTTTAAAACAAAGCGTCCACGAATGCAAGGAAACGACAAAAGCTGCGCAAAACTCTCGTTGCGATAAGAGCGTTCGAGATTTCTCGATCGTGAAATCGAAACGTCGACGATCGAGACGGTGGTTGGAACAGGCCTGACGGGACTCGAACGAATTTGTGTTTGAACGATTCGAAGACAAGCAAGGCGCTATGGTGACAGGAAAGAACAGGAAGTCGAATCGTTTCTGTCCTCGAGCACGTGTACCGCTTCGCCTAACAGTTCGAAAAACTGACTAAATATAGAATACGAGCGGCGCTATTGTTAGGTTGCTTGCGTTTTCGTGGCTACGTCGTTCGTTCAGACCTGTCTTCGTTCAATCGTCGCGAAGCTTGAATTTACGATACCGCGAAATTTATCGATGACCACCGATCGTTAAATATTTTACAAAGGGGGGAGGGTCCTCCTGAAACGATCCGTTCTCAAAAGCACTGAGATCTGTCCAAGCATTCGGATCTTTTACCTGACGAAAAATTCGTGTTTCTCGAAACCTAAGGTAGACCTGGTTTACTAGGGACACCTAGTGGATATCGCGGAAATTCTTGTTGAAGGGTGATCGAGGGAGGGAATCGACTTCCTAGATCGCGGGAAGTCGGACGGAAATGGCGATCGCGCCGGCGCGAGATCTTCCGAGCGAAGGCTTCGCCGTCCTCGCGCTCGCGGTCTTTCGAAATGGTATTTTTAGAGAAGTGAGTCGCTGGCCGCAAGCGGCGACGGTAGTCAAGCGTCGCCGTTGACCCTAAGTAAATCGTGCCCTGCGAACATCCGTCGATTCGGATGACCACCGTCGGTGAGTAGCCGCAACGATAAACACCGAAACGATCGCGACACCTTCGCCGGAAACCGCTGCTTTTCCTATCGATCCTCCACGACGCCGCCGCCGCCTTGGATATCCGCGAGTTTTCCGAACTTCCATCGAATCTCGTGCAACTTGTTCATCGACGTGGCGTCCGTTGGACGATTACGCGATTCGCGCATGGAATTATTCCGTTCCATTCGGTGGGACTTATCGGGCTGCTCTTATGAATCTAAATTTGGACCGCGTGCCAAAGCGCTCGGTGCGCCACTATTTATGACGTATTTATGGCACCGGGATGCGTGTTCGTGGTTGTTTCGTTTCGATAAACCGAGGTTGCATCTACGACGAATACTCCGTCCGTGTGTCGCTGTTAGTTTCCTCGATAGAATTTCCACGAAACTCTCTTCCTCTCGTTTTCTTTTCCCGGCGCATTCTGCGCCGCGAGTTCGTTCCCGCGGGCTCTTTGTTTTCGTTCGTCCGAGCTTGAAATGCGCGGCCGTTTTCGATCGCAGATCGAGTTATATTTAAGCGTATTTACATCGAGCCGCGTGCTGCAGCGTCTCCTCGTAGCACGCGACTCGTAAAGCTTCTTCGAGGATTTACACCCGTAAAGAAGAGTCTTTGATCTTCCCAAGTGGCACGGACATTGAAATTTTAGAAACGATACGCCAGAAATCTCCGTCGAAAATTCTACGTTGTTCATTTTCAATTTCTTTTCTCTCTTTTTTTTTTTTGCAACGTCGACTAACGTAGATTTTAAAATAAAGGATCTAGATCGATCTATCTTCTAAAAATACAGCCTGACCTGGTCCGAGTTTTTTCTCCGCTGCCAACTCGCAATCCCTCTCTCTCTCTCTTTTTCTCTCTTTATCTTTGAAGCTAATTGTAATACCGTAGATCAAGGAGATTAATTTACAGATTTATTTATATCGGTAAAATAATGTCGAGTGTCTACCCGGGTCAATGGCAAACACTGATTTTGGAACACGATAGTTCGAGAAGTCGAATGAGGTTGCAAATTATTCTCGTTACCGTTTCAGACAATTTATCGGCTCGTTCGAAGGCTGGGCGATCAAACTGTCCGAAAAGACGAATTTCACGGGGAAATTAGTAGTTGAAGTGGAGTAAGTACAGTATGGGTGCGGCTGGCAGTAGTAACGTCGCGCCTCCTCCATCGGCACCTTTGAGACCGCGGAGCGAGGAAACATTTATCTACGGGACAGAGGAATCCTGCTGTCCGGAATACACGAACGAAAATATACGACAAAGGACGAGGGCCAGCGCGTTCGACGTGGGTGAAGAACCTCGATCGCAGGTTAAATTTAAAACGAATATTTATTGGTTTTGGGACCGACTCGAACAACCAACTAGTCGCGGGAAAACATTTTAAGCTGCATACACGGGGTGTTCCTCGATATAACGAGCAAATCGAGCACGTTCGACGGGTTATTGCGAACCAAAAACGTCCATCGTAACTTGTCTGGACCCACGTACTCGAGACCAAGCAACGTTTATATCGGTAACGAATAGAAATAGATCGATAGCGTGATTTTCCTGGTTCGAAGCGACCCGTCGAACGCCGCTGGAAACGTTTTTCGATCCCCTTCCGGAACACCCTGCACAAAGACTTCGAGACTTCCGTTCAATTCCGTCGGAACGAACGTTTGCAGGGTCCGAGTCCTTACGCGACCTTCAGGGACGAAGAATGCTGGAGTCAGAGACCATCGGTGCCGAGTTTGTCGAATTTGCCACCGTCTCGTCGGCAGACTTTGGTAAGCGACGCTTTTCTTTGTTCCGTGGAAGTTTCGAGCTCGCTTCCGGCGTGGTTTACAGCATCCCGAATGCTGGGGGCGCTAAAACGAAACCGCGCATCCGGTTCCCCGGAAGACGTCTAATTTTAATCGAAACGTTCGGAAAACACCGCGGGCTTTTGTCGAGAAACGGCGACGGCGGCGCGCAGAAATTTTCCGAGCGGAAAGCGGTCTTTTGTTCCGCGCGGAAAAGACGACGCGGCCCGCTGGCTGCACTCCAACAAGCTCCACGACGCTTCGTGATTTCGGGAGAACACGCTGAGTCACGGTCACGTAAACGACGAGTTAGCAGGCATCGATCCGCGATCACGTGCCACCGTGTGTCGAGTGCCTTCGGTGAACACGCTCTCGAGTTCTGCCAGTGCGTTCCCGCGGATCATTCGACGTGGATCGAGCTTTCCGATCGATCGCTCGAGAACCAATTCCCTCGCGTCCGCGTGCATGGATCCGCGAAGCTCGAATCCTTCGGGGATACCAGTTACTTCGAGACGACTCGAAGAAATAATACAAAGCACTGCTTGGTGGGAAAGTTACTTGGAATTCCGTACGCTTTCGGTGTAAGTGATTTTTCGAATGCAACGATTATTTCGATTTAATGATTATTGCTAGAATCGAGCGATCTATCGTGTTCGTAAACAATGTCTATGGAGTCGAGATCTGGAAGGAAGATAGGAAGATGGAGTAAGATAATTTTCAAAAGGAACGAGAGATCAGCTGCAAGCTTCCTAGATTCCAGAGATTTCGTATCTAGCTCGCGTTATGATCGTAAATACTGCAACAGACGAGAAATTTAGTTTACCTAATCAGCCTAATACTATCGTCGTTTAGCTAAACGAACCGTAGTTTTCTAGCGTGAAAACCATCGCGACAAATTAGAAGCAGCCCGTTCGCCGTGGAATGCAAAAAGAGCAACGGTCCACGTACCCATTCCTTGATCCAGAATTCCGATCGTCGATCAGCCGGTTCGATCAGCATCTCTGAAATTAGTCCATTTATTTATATTGCAGTTGACGTACGCGGCGCAGATGACAGATTGGCAGACAGCCGAGGGGCACAGCCCTTCGTTCTCTCATCAACACCAAGAAGCCATGGAGCTTTCGAGAGCGATCACGCAGCTCGCCGTGGCCAACCAGCAGCTAGCTTCGGCTCACACGGCCACCCTGGCGCACCTGGAGGAGCTGTACATCGAGCTCAGGAAGGAGAGACAGCTGAAGAAACGAGATGCTTCGTCGGACGAGGCTCGGAGGAGAAGACTGACGATCGAGCAGGACCTGGACGACGAGGAGCCGAGGGACGAGAAGCTCCGATCGAAAATTGAGAGATTGGAGCAGCTGGCGAAGAACTCTCCCGACAGAGTTCTAAACGACGTACCTGAACGGGAATCGAAAAGTCGGCTGGAAACGACGAACGACGAGGCTTGGAGAACGTCCGTTCGCCGAGTACATACAGCGAGCGACGAGACGGTGAATTTGCATTTAGAAAAGTCTGACAGGGTGAAATCTAGGATCGAGGACGAGCCAGACAGGACGAAAAGCACCGGTAACCAGGAGGTAATCACGTTGTCGGAGGAAATTGAGAGATTAAAGGCTGAACGATCAGAGATTCGATACGCGAACGAAAGACTGACCAGCGAGCTGGCGGAGCAGAAGGCCACGGTGCAGAACCTCACGGAAAGCTACGAGGTGCGTCGTAATCGTATCTTCGAATAGAAAATTGCGCGTGTACGTTCGGTAAACCGGATAATTGTTTCTAGGCATCGAAGGCGCGTCACGAGGAAGTGGAATCGAGTCTGCAGGAGCGTAAACGAGAGTACGACGAGCTCTCGAGGAAGCTCGACGTCGCCACGCAGGAGACCGACAGGCTGTTGAAGGAAATCGACGCCTTCAACGCGCAGAAAGACACCGCCGAAGCCAGGATCGTCAGTCTGGAGCAGGATCTACAAATGTCGTTGCTGGAAAAGGAGCAAATTAAGAGCATAGAGAATCAGAAAACTTTGAAATTGAAGGCGCAGTTGTCCGAGGAGGTCTCGGACAAGAAGAAACAAATAAAAGCTCTCGAGGAAGCTTTGGACGAGATTCAAAGACTGAAGGAGACTATCAAGACTGAAAGGAAAAACGACGACGACGACGAAGACGTTGGTACGTCTGTTCTATTCGATTATTATTACTTTTTCTGCGGATTCTAGAGTAAAGTATTCCAAGGTTTCCGAGCACCGAAGATATTTTAACGATACTCTAAAGGTTCGATCGATTCGACAGACGATCCAGAAGGCAGCCTAGCGACCGATCGCACGACCAACATAGAGGACTTTAAAAAGGAATTGACTCTGAAGAGGGAGGCCAGACAACGAGCAATCACGGCCGTTTCGTCGGAAATGGAGCGACTCAGGCGCGAACTGGACGCAGAGAAGGAGGCCCACTCGGAAACATCGAGGGTGTTGGATCTCGTGAGATCCGCTCAGAACGATCCTCGTGCTCAACAGGAAACCGGCGAAGCGGATGGAAACTTAACGAGAACTAGAACGAAGGATTCGAAGCCGGACGAACACGAACTGGAAACGAAACGCGTGGAAGCCCAACGTTTGACCAGCGTCTTAAAGGTATGGATTTAGTCGAAAAAAATAGAACACAGCTATCGTTGACTATCGCGCGAATGTTTCTAGGTCTCGGACGAACTTAGGAACGACATCCGCTTCCAAATGGAGAAACTGGACAACTTGCGTTATCACCTGGAAACCGAGCCGGATCAGCATCGCTATCGCATTAGATGTTTGGCGGAGGTTACGAATAAGACGCGGGAATCAGTTTACGCGAGGGAACGTCGTGCCAACGAGCTCAAGGACCATCTAGCGCAGATTCTGGTCCGATTGGGGGACAGAAGTTTCCTGGATTTGAAGGACGACGTAGCTCTGGAGTGCGAACGTCAGCTGGAGAACATCAATAGCCTGAAGAGTCTCTACAACGAGAGGCTGAAAGTGCTGACCGAGTTGAAAGACGCGGCGATCAGGGAACTCGTGGACGTGAAAGAGAGATTGGATCATACCTTGGAAAAGTCCGAGTGCTTGGAGGAGGACCTGAAAAAGGCTGACGAGAAGGTATTTCAACGCAGCCCCGTTGCGATCGAACCTGCATTCTGAAACTTTTATTCCCCCCACTGTGTACAGATCGATGTCCAAGATACCGAGATATCGAATTTGGAGTCGCAGCTGGGACTTACCAAGGCGGACTGCAGGGATCTTCAGAATCAAATGTCGCTCATCAATGGATTGTTCACCCAGATGCTGCTGGGTGCTTCCTCCGCCGACATGGACCTCGATCGACTGACTCAGCTGCTCCAGGTACCGTCGAACTTAGAGAAATAACAATCCGTCGATTGATTTCGTTGATGTTCGTTAGGAGAATCACGATCTAATAAGTGACATAGCGAGAGAAGAGAGCACCGAAGCTGCAGCCCTCCCGAAACTTCTTCTCGACTTGGTGGAGCAGGTCGAGGGTAGCAAAGGTACTCAGAAACGTGCTGACGGGGAGAACAGCGGCGAAACCGACGTCGAGGCGGAGAAAAAGGAGGACGATCTGCAACAAGAAGACATAGCTCATAATCTGCCCAAGGTGAACGACTTTAGAAAACTTATTATCGTATAGTACAGGATTGAGATATTGTACCGCGTTCGTATTAAGCCCGCGAATAATCGAGACAACAGCAGCGACGGAAGTAAGAATAATTGACGCGATCTTAGACGAATCAGACGAGACAAGGTGCACGTGAGAGTGGGAAATGAGCGGAAGAGCGTAACGTAAACATCGTGTGGACAACGTGGTCGATCTGTACTAGGCGATTACAGCAAATAAATAGAAAAATTTTGATTCAGGTGTGGCGCGTTCTCTTGGAATTATTGAGCTGCCACGCGGAGGGCAGCCCGTCCGCTGCAGCAGCATCAGCTGCGGATCCAAACAGTTGTTACAAATCCGTGGACACTCCGGCCGGTCCAAGGCTCGTAATATCCGTCAGTAAAACGTACATTCGTCTGAAGGAGCTGATCCTGGAAAAGAAACACTTGGAGAAGGAGATGAACCGGATGAAACAGCTGAACACTCACTTGGAGAGCAAGCTCGGCGAACAGGTGAGAAACACTGAAATGCTTCTGTCGAGTATTTCCGAGCGACGAATTTGACGCGTTGTTACGACAGGAAAAGAGGCTGTCGGCTGTGTCGGCGGAGCTGAGCAAAACTTGGACCATCGTGGATCGGATGCAGGCTCAACACCAGCAACTGCACACCCACGAGAAGATCCTGCGATACGAGCTGCAGGAGAAACGGAAGATGCTTCAGGAGCTGAAGCAGGAGTTGGAATACTGTCGCGAGAAGTGGGAGTCGGCCAGGCAGAAGAACACCAACACCGAGTTGGAATGGAGATGCTTGCGACGAGAGTTTGCCGCGAGGAAAGCTCTGGCTGTTCACGATTCCTTCAACAACAGGTGAGCGATGCCTGAAAAATATCGATTTCTAAATTTCTAGGCTGTACGATATCGATATCACCCGATACATTTTTCTGTAGCGCCGAGAGTGGATTCAGCGACGAGCGAGGAGACGACACGGACGAAGAGGACGACGCGGTCGAAGGAAGGCTCAGACTAGGCCCACGCAGGAAACCGCGAAAGGTTGGACATCATTTTCAATTCCGTCGACGCGTTTTAAAAACGATCAATTTTTAGGAGAGCCCCCGAGCACCATCGCCGGATACGGAATCGGAACAACCGACCGACACCGAGCTGTCGGAGCCGAAAACAGGTTCCTCGGCGACGCTGGAGCAACGAACGTCCACCCCGGAAACGGAAACTGAACTGGACGAGACCGAAGCCTCGAACGAGACGTTGAACGTGGTATCCGTAATCGCGACAGAAGCACCGGTTAGTCGACGACCATTATTATTAGATTTAGAACATATGGAAAGATTTATTAAACATTCGTTGCTTTATGTTTACAGCAATCGGTGTCGGAAGGTTCGCAAGAATCGCTCGATCCCCTGGATCAAGCTCTGACGAACGTGATCCAAAACCTTATAGCGATCAACGAACCAGGTTCAACGACCTTCGCGAGTCCGATCGTACAAGTGGACGTCGCAGAGAACGTAGCAAACGATGACTCGTCGTTCTTAGAAAGTTTCCATACGATAGATTCGAATCTCGAATGCAACGAAGCACCGTGCGACGGGGACCCATTAATAACAAACGATTCTATAGTGCCTGAGATCTCCGTACAAGACTTCGACCTGCCATCGGGCATAAATGAAAACTGTCAGAAAACCACGGATCCGGAGGGTGAGAAAACAAACATCGAAAAATCCACCAATTTGACCGAGTCTCACGCACCTACCGTAACTAGCATAGTCAGCACGCTGCCTGTTTTCTCTATCGGGCCCTTTCCTATGCCCGTTGTGACGCCCACGATCGTGAAAAACGTCCAGTTTACCGACACCACGATCGATGGCCCGTCTAATCGATGTTTTGCTCCAGTTTTCGGCGCGCCGCTCACGGAAGAACGTTTCGAATCGAACGCGAGTCAAGAAACGGAATCGAGAGGTCTCGAGAAACGCGGCACCAGGTCGACGGAAGGCGTCGTCGACTCTGACAGCGTCTCCATCGACTCGTCCTCGAGCTTGGAAACGGTCAAAGAGTTCTCCGCGTCGTCCCTAGGTGAGACTGGAAAGACGGAGAGCTCGGAAGTGGGATCCTCCAAACAAGAAGAGAACAAAGTCAAGACTAGAACGCCGGAAGAGGCTTTGGCCGCTAGGGAAGACAGATTGAGGAGACTGGAGGAACAAGCCAAGTGGCTGATGAACAAAATGAACGCGACCAGCAGAAGGGGCTCCGTGCTTAGCACTAGACTCGAGGAACTTCACGAGGCCTATGGAGAACCGCCGGTACCCCCTCCCATGCCAGACGTTCTACCTAGTCGGAGATTGCAGACGAATTTAACGGATCTACCTCGCCAGGTAAAATTTTCCTATTGTTTTGTATAGCTTGCTGTGCCTTTTGCTATATAATAAGTTTGTATATTTCTTCAACCGCTGATAAACTAGAAAGGAATACCTGTAAAATCTCGTGGTTGTATACCGACAGCTTTAAATAGACGTTACGTGTTTGTAAATCAAACAAAGCGTTTGTTAACTGTTTTATAATTTAGGTACCTGAATCACCGGTCGCCGAAGGTACCGAAAATTCCAATACACCCGTCTCGAGCGGCGGCTGCAACGAATCATCGCCGGATAATGCACCTTGAAATGCCCACGAGTTTCGTTGTACGAAGAAAACATTGCTCGACGTTTATTTTCGTCGAAGGCGGAAACATGTGTATATCGGACGCTGACCGTGCATTGGCGCATCAAATGTGTCGACTCTTGTTATAAACATTATATAATCGCGACGAGTGAAAATATTTGGACTCGTCGTCGAAAATCATTAATCGAAACGGTAACGAATCTTTACCTTTCTTTTTTTTTTTAATCGATTGAACCGTTGTTTTCGTTTATCGAACTATTTTATTTGATGTGCTTCGTTTCGTAATTGTAAGAAAGACTATGCAAACCGTTTCGTCGATTCAACGCCCCGAACTTTTTACTAAACACTTTTTATGATATTTTTAATATCGATGTGCTATCGTATTTGTATCGGTGTAAGCAATTTCTTATTGTTCCTAACTGCGGAAGTAAATGTGATCGACTCACGAATCCGTTCCGGTTTTGTACCTTCTACGATTGTACCTACTAATTTTGCTGTATAAATAAAGAATCAGTACAGGATACGTAGATCTCGTTAGAAATTGGAAATGGTGCGGATAAAAGCGAATACCGACGGGAGTATTTGTGTTGATGGGATCGATATGATTTATTTTAAAATAATTAACAGTTCTCAGGATGTAAAACTTTCTCGCCACGCGTCTTCCCGCCCACACACTCGTATGCGCAGTGAGTTTACTATCACTATATGTATATCATAGATATGTATACTATTCACAAGACTCCTCGGACTTCGTTACCGTGGACTGATCCGTGGATGAACAAAGTCGTTTGTGTAACAAAAACAGCTATAGGTACGCTAAGTTCTCGACTCCCCCTGCACGCTCATCATCGTCCAACGACGATTTCGAAAGGCACTCGACGAATATTTAGAAAAAAAAAGAGACTCTTGGATCGCTTTTCGACCGGTTAAACCGAACGAATCACGCAAGTTTGCAACTATCTTACGTTTTTTTTCGTAAAGATTCGTATTAAAGATACTCGATTCTACGAACACACACGCACGCTAAGCACCCTCGCAAAATGATTCTCTAACTTTACCATGCACGCTGTCCGTAACTCCTAATTATTTATTACATTAAGTTTTTATCTACAGACCTTATATCCTAGTATTGGCCTTTCTTTTTACGTAATCTTTCGATCGGTTAATCTCGTTCGTAATAGTTCGTACCATAAAAGAAAACTATTTTATAACGGTGTTACCTACTTTGTATCACAGTACACGTTGTGCACCGTTCGTCGTTACGCTAATAAAAATGACAAACTTACGATGACACGAGAAGTACTGTGTTGGCACGCTTGAAAAGAAGGACTGGTCGTACAAAAATACGATACAAAAATCTATCCACGAGTAGACGGACTTTTTCGAAAAATATACAGCAATGTTTGGATAACTGCAAGACAGATATATATATATCTCCACTGATATAGATCTCCATACATAATTTCCACTGATGCAAACTATACCGTGTTTGGTCTTATTTTAATCGGATAAACCTCGTTACGAGAATATAGAAGATATCAGTTATCCAACCATTGATCTATATAGCGGTTTCTGGAAAAATATTATTCTTGTCTTGTGCGCGTTATAGCGACGGACGAAAGATTCCGTTTTAATAATAATCTTGACGCAGCATAGATTCTGCATTTCTTCCGCGAATTCAATATATATTATATAAATTTAGCATATCGATTTCGATCGCTCCCCTTTAAATACAATTTTCCAAAAATAAATTATTCCGCGTGTGTCTAGCTCTTCGTTAAGGCACCTCGATGTTTCGTAACTTTTGTACAAGATATTAGACTTTTATAAACAATATCAACGTCGATAACACATTTGAACTCTTTCATACAATACGTATCACTTCGATTACGATTACTTAATCACCGAGAATGTCATCCGTGTGAGGTCACAGTCTAAAATTTTTCGCTAAATTAATTTAAGTATCGGCTACCATAGGCCCTTAACGGTACAATACAAAATAACATCTGTTTCTACAAAAAGACCTCTCTCGTTTTATAAAAAATACAAATGTCCGAACAGTTCCACGACAAACCGTTTCCGTTGCTTGTCCGTCGTTTCGATTCCTTCTGCTCGCGCAAAATCCTGGTAGAAAAATATTTATACATACGTATATGCTTTCACTGAATCATCTGCAAGTATCTGTTCTCCTCGAGCAACGAGCTGAGAGACGAGGTCATGTCGTTCACCACCATGTTCGCGCTCGACGGCAATGGCTGCGGCAGCGACATGGGGTGGGTGGAACTAGAGACATTCGTCTCGTGCGTGTGGGCATTGCCCGACCAATTTCGACACTGTTGCACGTATTCTAGCGTCCGTCTGTACGAATCCTGCCTCATCCCTTGCGGCGGCTTCATCGGAGACCCCTGCTGGGATTGACTGATGTCCCGACACTGAATTTCGGGCATGGAGGCTCCGTGTTGCTCGTGATAACATTGATCGCTACCGTAATTCCATTGGCAGCTGCAACTGTACTGTTGATGGCTCGGGGGATTGTTCCGACCTTGACAGTTGTGCGTGCAGGTATGCTGTTGGTGCTGCACTCTGCAGTTGGTTTGCTGCACGGTGCACAACTGGGGAGACGTTCTCTTGGACAGAGCATTGTCCACGGCTGGTCGATGCCCGCCGTTCGAATGTGTACAGTTCGTCATTTGGAGACAAGGAGAGAGGGGCTGTTGCTGACAGACTTGGAGACCGGTCATGTTGGTCATCGGCTTGGTCTGGTTGTTCATGGTCAATTGGGAACAGTGGGGCGACAACTGGGGACAATGGTTCGTCACCGTGGTCTGCTGACCAGAATGGAAGTTCGACACCTGACCGTTGGGGGTGACCATTGGCCTGGCGCACTGGTTGCCCGTCTGACCGCACTGGGAATTAGGATGCCCGATGGTTTGATTGGGTATAACGGGTGGCTGGGTACAGTGCGGGGACAACTGAGGGCAATTGGCAGCCGCGTGCGGTTGGCTGCATTGCTGCTGGGTCATCGCGGGGTGGCTAGCTGGGAGGCAGCTAAGATTCGTGTGGTGGTTCGCGTGACCGTTCGGATTTCCGGTACAGTTCGCGTTCATCTGTCCCTGACAACCGTAACCGGGATAGTAACCGTGATGCATGTGAGTCTGGGGACAGTTCCTGGTCAATTGAGCAGAATTTTGAGGAAGATTTTGGGGAGCGTGTTGAGGCGCCAAGGCCCCAGCCGCGGGGGACGTTAGAGGTTGATCGCTGATGTGACTGGGGGCGTAATGAGATCCAGGCGACATCACTTGGCCTGCTGCAGGGCTAAGGACTTGACCGCTGTTGGGTTGCGAGGGATAGTTGGGCGGAGGGCAGTATTGTGGATTGGGCTGAGCGGACCGGGAACTCGGACATTGGCTGTAAGGAGACGGAGAGGAATTCTGATAGTTTGTGCAAGGAGGTTGGCTGAGCGATTGTTGGGGATAACAGTTCTGTTGGTGAGTCGGACTATAGTTACAGGTGGGTTGCATCTGGCGTTGACAGTGCAGAGGATTGCTGCATATCGGGGATTGGCAGAGCGGTAAGGGGCTGTTGCGATAACTGATCTGGCTTCCACCTGCCTGAACCTGAAACAAACAACAAACGATGCATTTCGATTATTGTTTCAACCGCCTTCGCTGCGATATTACTCCAACCGGTGTAACGAATTTGCTCGAAGAAACACACCTGATTCAGATATTGCATCATCTCGTCCGGAATGACCAGCTTGTTCTCTACCATTTCACCTTCTCCGACTTCGTCCAAAATAACTTCCTGGTTAGGATGGTGCTCCGGAAGTTGAACGGACCTGGGCCTGGGTGGTACGAGGGGGGAGTTTCTTTGAGTTTGTTGGCCTCTGGTTGGTTCGGACATACGACGATCACCGGATGGTTGCGTACAATGGCCGTTCGAACCGTTCCAATCTCCCGGTGCTCCCTGAATGCCCTGAGAGAAGTAGATCATCTTAACGACCGAACGGAGGATTTCAGATCCGTACGTTCTTAAGATGTTGCGAACTTACTTGCAGGGACATGTTCTGCGTTTGAACGACAAGGTTGCTCGTCAAGAAGGGCCCTTGGAGGTGACTCGGTGGATTCATTCTGCCGGAAGTGGTACTCAGTTGACTGCTTCTTCTAGACGTGCCCGGACTGATCGGATCGTAGAAGCTTCCGGGACCGGCGTGGCCAATTCTGACGGCGTTGACGCCACTGGCTTGGCTGCTTCTTCTGCTGCAAAAGTCCGTGGACTTCATGCTGCCGTAATAAGTGCTCACTGTGCTGTTGCTGTCCCTTCTCGGCTCGTTCAAAGGTTGCAGCCTCAACTGGAGGTCGGCCAAACTGGTCTGCCGGGCAGGACCTCCGCCTTCCATTTTCAGGTCAGTGATCCTTCTGTTCAGATCGCCGATGTTACCCTGAGGACCCACGCCACGCGTTCCCCTCATTCCGGGCACCACGGACAGGCTTGACATGCCCTTGGCGTGCAATCTTCCTTTCAGACGGTTCCTCGAGGCGGGTGCCGGAGCCTGTTGCTGCTGCTGCGACTCCATTCCACCGACCTAAGGGCAGACGATCGGTCGCGTTATAGTCCGTGAGTTCAAATTAACCGCTTTGACTAACGCGCGTCAGAACTTTTCGCCGTGGAACTGAACAATTTATTCGGAAGTTGAGGAAATAAACAGTTTGTAGACAGTTTGAGACTCACCATAGCACGAAGAGCAACCGGCAGATCGGCAATATCCAGGTCGTCGGGTTCCTCGTTCCAAGGTTCCTCCGTGAGCGAGACGCCTTCGCTGGTCAACGCACTGACACCCGCCACCTCGTCGTTGCAGCCACCGACCAGAGGACTTCCTTGCTGTTGCATCATGCTAGGTGGACTGTTAGCCTCGCTCTCGGACTTCACACTAGGACTCGACAGGCTAGGCGTCTTTGGATGGAGGTCCTCGCTTCTGCTAGGACTGTTACCGCCCGCGCCAGCTTCGTCGCTTCCTCCGCCATCTCCGCCACCGCCTTTGTGCTTCTTGTTGGCGTAGAACTCCGCCCCGTGCACGGTTTTCACGTGTTTCCTCAACGACGAGGGATCGGTGTACCTCTTGGTGCAGCCCGGCGCCTTGCAAACGTAGGGTTTCTGGAAGATTTATCGGATCAAACGTTACGTTCTTTCTCGATTGGCGTTCGTTTTCTTCGCGGTCGGACCACTCACCTCGTTGGAATGAGTTCTATTTTGATGCTTCGCGCGATCGCTGGCGTTGCTGAACGCCTTGCTGCACCCCGGATATTCGCACGTGTACGGTTTCTCGCCCGTGTGAGACCTGAGGTGCGTCTTGAGGTTCTCCAGCCGCGAGTACGCCTTGAAACAGCCCTCGAACTGCAATCGAGAGTCGGAGCGCGCGTTAGTCGAAATCGTCGCGGGATTTTCGTTCGAAAGACGATGTACTCACGGTACACTTGTGAGGTTTTTCGCCAGTGTGCCTTCTCATGTGCACCACCAACATGTACTGGGCCTTGAACGGTTTTTCCTCCCTCGAGCATTCCTCCCAGCCGCAAACGAAACTTTTCTTGTTCGCGTGGATGTGATCGTTGTTGATATGTTTCACGAGATCGTCCTAAAGCGGGAAGGAACAGAAGGTATTCAGGAAAACGAATCTTTTCTCGAAGGTTGACAATATTAACAGCAACGATTAGACTTTGAAATGTACCTGGGTTGGAAATTCGAGGCCACAGTCCCTCCAATGGCAATTTGTCTCGATGAAATCGCCAGGTTCGTCCCGAAGATCCTCGCTGGGACTTAGCCCCTGAGGATGAGTCGGTGGCGCGGTGGTTGTCGTAGCATTCGTGGTCGTGGTTGCCGGTTCTCTTTTTACCTTCGTCGAGGCTCTCCTCGAGGAGGTGTCCGCCTCCGCCGTCACCGACCTGGTCGACGACTCCGACGCTTTTCTGCACGATTCTGCGCTCTGCTCGAACAGAAACACCAAATCGTTGAATTTCCAATTAATACGTCTCGTTTAGTCGGAGGTAATTGGAAAATTATAGCGCGTCGATCAGGTAGCAACAGAGTTACACGGGCCGATAGCATCCGGTATCGTTCCGGCGCATTAATTTAATCGGCATTCGGAATTCAGAGAACAGTATCGGCGATCTTTGACACCGGGGCCAGCGATTTTCTAAAACAAACACGCCGCTCGTGCGCGAGAGCGAATCGCGCGTCGTGACACACGATCAGCACGCGATCTTGCAATTATCGCGTACCGTATAGGGTGTACCGATTCGATCGATCGTACAGGCCCGTCGTAAACCGTTCACCGGCGAGTCCGTGAGCCGATATAGACATAACTTGGAATATTCTCGTCTGCGTAAGGGCGAAACGGAGACCGCGGGTGGCGTGTCTTCACAAACGAGGAACACGCAGCAGAACGGTATCGTTGCGCTTGTTATTTCGAACGTATTTGGCGCGGACTCTTCGAGCAGACGCTCGAAACGATCGACGAGACACGCGTCGTAACTGTATCGTTAAAAACGACATGAACGAGCCAGGTAACTATAAACCTTCTTCTTTTAAATGCAACGCGCGAATAATTTTTCTACGAGCACTTCAGACGGTTATCACAACAGTTCGAAGAGAGATACGAAAGGTGGAATTGTCGGAAGATTGCGGCGCTCGAGTTGTCGCGAAACTCTTTTTGCCGAAAGCTGACGTTCTAAAACTGGTTTCGATGGAATTAATAAACGTTGAGCAACCGATCGCAACGATAGGAGCGTTATTGGTTCGAAACTCGAACCGAACGGAACCGAACCGAGTCTAGTCCGTTCTTCGGGGGTACCTCTCGATTACGACGACCCTATAAATCCATCGATCACCGGTGGGAACGAGCGAGCACGGTGCAACGGTGCACACGGAAACGCGAATCGGCATCGAGGCACGACGACAACCGCGAGAGCGCAACGAGCGAAATGCAAGCCGATGCAATCAGGCACCGGGGAACTTTACAGCGTGCGGACACACGGCGAGCCGTGTCGCGGAGAAGAAAATGAAAACGCCGCCGCGGATGCAAATAAATCAGAGCAGCCCGGAGAAACGCACCGGGGGGACAGCGTCCCCTGTCTGTGTACGCGAGAGAGCGAAAGAAAGAGAGAAAACCGCGGAGAGGCGAGGCGGAGACAGCGAAACAGGGAGAATACGATTAAGAGTGACGTCCACGGGGGAAAAGGAGCACAGCAGCGCGGAGAAGAAAGAGCGGAACGCCCGAAAAAGATAAAAGACGCTGGTCAGGTGGCCAGGGATGGGGGTGGAATCTGGCGGAATAATGTGCGCGAGATTGCTTGTAACCCGAGGACCATGCGAGGCTGACCCAACCGTTTTCTCTTTCTACAGTTTTCTCCGTCGCTCGCGCGCTGCGTTGCGGATGAGGCTGACAAACCGGCGAACCGTAGGGGGAGAGGACGAGAGAGGCTGCTGGAACGCGATTATTTATTCTCGATGAATCGATGACGAGCTACCGAGCATACATCGCCGCCCGGACTGGCGATAACAATTCGAGAGGCACCTGTATACGCGATGCATCCTGCGATCATACCGGACGAAGATCCACCGTGCCTTTACATAATCGTCGACGCACCCAACCGTGGCCGCTAATTACGCCAGTCAACGATACCGTTCGCTTCGATAGCCTTGCTCAACATCGATCGATGACGTTCAATTTTTACTCGGATAAGAATTTTTACTCGGATATTCACGGATGAAAGATGGTCGATTTGGTTTACCCACCTCCGATTTTGGCGGCAGTCCTGCGCCATGGGGTCCAAGAGTCGCCGAGGCCGTGGAATGAGGCGGCACACCGGGGTACAATTGCGAATGGGGCGATAACCCGTGGGCATGGTGGTGCGGGTGAGGCGGCGGGGGTGGAGGTGCGTGGGGCTGCAAGGGATGAGTATGGGGGAGAAGCGCCGCTGCAGCTGCGCTCCTCAGGAGATGGGCCTGTAGCTGTTGCAAGTGCGGCGCCATTCCCGGGTGCATTCCCAGAGTCGGACTCATTGCTAAAACGAAAAGCAAACGTACATGAAATTCACCATGAGAGAACAGTTTGACGGTTGGGGCACGGTTGTCGAACGCGCGGTAAACGTCGGCCATTGCATGGCGTTTAATAGTTAACACGGACGGAGGCGGGGGTGGCGATACGCGCGGATAATCGATAGAGATCGAAATCGGACCGCGTCCATTCTCTTGACAGTCGGAGCACGGCACGCCGGACTTCCGGCACGTAGGCTAAGCTTGCATTTCAATGGTAAAGTCCCTCTGGTCCCTCTTACGAAACCATAAAGCTATAGCGATCGTGTAGGCCGTGACTGTGTCGTGTTCCCTTCGTCGGGAGACCGACGCGATAAACGACTGGATAAACGATCCTACTTAAAAAAAGACGTTTATAAACACCGGAGGGGAACGTCGCGCGCGACTCGACCGATTATTATTTAAATCAAGTACGCGCAATGCGTTGCGGTTTCCGTACGCGCGTTCAACTTCCATTCCCAGATAGGTAATTTCGATACTATAAATCGCTGGTGCTCGCGGTTCGATGTAATCGTACCGAGTTAACTTGCAGTTTAACAACGGTGGCTCGTTACGCGATAAAATATTAATACTCGGCGCAGCCAGAGCGAATAGTTTGTTCGATAAATTGCCGTGGCTAAATTAATCACGGGTTCGATATGGTCTTGTCGGTACGATACGTGACGGGCTTTCGAATCACGCTTCCTTCTAATTGAAGTCTCTACCGACGCTGCTCCTATCGCTGGTCTATAAATTAGCCGCGATAATATTGCAGTTCCGTCGACGCCCGCGTACTTCTACGCAAAATATGCGACTTTATCTCTCTTATTCCTATTTCTATTTATTCCGTGCATTCGTGCGTTATTGCGAGCGACATGCTCGTTTCGAAACCTCCAGTATCCATCGATTCGATTAGGAACGTGTAATGCAATCGAATGTAAATTAACGTATAATTGTCCAAAGCGATAAATCGGCTGTCGGTGATTTAATTCGATCAAATTTGTCCCCTCCCTTCGATCCATTTCCTCGAAACATCGAAACACGTCCATTTGAGAAAGCAGTCGTCGAACAGCTTGCTACCGATCTCGCTCGAACGATCCAACACAGGATTTCCACGGCTACCGGTGAACTATCCTAGGCCGTAGTGTTTCCCATTCTAAATCGCGCCGATGTTTAGTAGTCTAGGAAGGTTCTATGGTCGATGCAATCAAGCTCCATTCAGGGTGCCATCACGTACGTGCGTCAAAGTACTTACTTAGGCGACCGGTCACGCCCATGCGAGTCCACGTTCTAGGCGGTGGTTCATAAAAGCGAGCACGTTGCGTGCCCACGGATGCTTAGCGATTAACAGCGCAGAGTGTCTCGTTTCGAAACTGTCTATTATCCACGTCCTGATGAACGTTGCGCGAACCGTGTCCCACAAATGTACAGGCCGTTCGATTAAAGCGTCTTCGTTCAAATATTTTTAAGTTTAACTTCAAATAGGAAATTTAAAGAAACAACAAATGGTCGATAGATTTTACAGATTCCTCGAGCGTCGAAAACCACGCTACTGGTTTTCGGGATTCGAGGGGCGATTCCTTCCGATCGTCGCGACCGTAAACTTTACGTCCCATTCTTTGCTCGTCCCGCGTACGGAACGGCGAAGAAATCCCATTTTACCGGTCGCGACTATAAAACACGCGTCAGGTAGTATTTCTCACGGCTCGTCGATCGCTCGTCGCGATTCGAATGAATATAAACCGAGGAATGCTCGAAGCGTACGCCTACGAGATTTTATTTAAAAGGACTATCATTTTGCGCTATCGGATTGTACCTCCTCGCGCTCGGAATGATAATCGCTTAATCCGTGCAAAAATATAATAAATCGCGTGGACCGGCGGGGTTCTTATGTTTCTCGATTGATTTTTGGTTTCGTTGGAGTAAATGGAGTTCGAGGGTGGTTGGAATTCCATCACTGGCGACGTCCCGATGCGAGAAGAGGGAGGACGGCTGGCGACGTCGTCCACACGCGGGAGGCAAATAACGAGCGACAACGTCCAGCGGGGGTATCGTGGGACGCCGAGCCGACAAACGATCGGCGATCGCGCCGCGTCGCGTCGCTTGAATTTTAATCCGTTAATTACTTCATTTAATCGCAAATTACCGGCTGCTCTTAACTCGCGAGCAAGGAGGTCTGGCCGATTTGTGGGACGCACCGCGATTCGTGCTGCAGCCGGCTCTTATAATGGCTTCATGCGCACCGGCACCTTAATTCGACGGTCCGCTCCCCCGCTGGCCCCTTCCGGCACTCCCCGGGGCCCAAGGCCCCTTCTTGCACGCCCTTAAACGTCAGGACCTGATCCTTACGAGGACGAGGCTCCCGCGTTAACGCTCACCGCCAATGACTTTATTCCTTTCGTATAGGTCCGTGTAATTATGGTAATTTCGATCTCGGAAACCCGGTTTTCCTGAGAAACCACGACGCCTCCGATACCGCGGACATTTTACGACCAATGTTAAAGATGTTCCATGGACGGTGAAATGATATACGATTGGGGCCGCCTGTGTTGATAATATTAAAGGGAATTATGCAAAATCGCTGCGAGCATGGTTCGATCCGAGACCAGGCTCGATACTTAACGAGATCGTTAGGTCGTCGGTCGTCAAGTTGTAAAACGCCTGAAATTCGCTTTCGTAGATTTCGTCTATGTTTCCAGAGCAAAATGTAATTTTGTTGGCAAAAATGAACGCTGCCCGATAGACGTAGAATAAAATATTCATTTTCTAGAAATATACCGTAGTCGATACTTGGAAATCTTTCTCGGCCAGCAGTTTTTAATCCACGACCACGAATAGCTAATTTACATCCCTGTATGTAAACGCCGGAGTGTTTACGATCCTCGTTTATTCTTTGCCGTGGTAGCGGCAATAACTCGGGAAATATGGTTGTTACGCGTTGGTGGCATTAACAACTTCTGCCCGGGTACACGTGTAATTACACGCGTATAATTCACGTATCGCGTATCCCGCGCGAAACGTTTATAGTTGCGCCGAGGTCCGATTTCCGCCCCCACCTCGCCGACAGTGACGAGCTTACGGGACGGCGTCGGTGATTACGAGCAATCAATCACCGCTCGCCACCCGGTGAAAATGCGCCCGTACCCCCGGTAAACACCCGGTGACTTACATTTTCGGAGGGTATCGTGCGCGGGTGATCTCTTAATTGCACGTTCCCCGGCCATCGCGATTTACCGTGATATTTATTCTCGGTGTAAATCGCTCGTAACGTCTCTCTCATGACTTCGAATGGGAGGGGAAGGAATAATTACGCGGCACAGGTGCTCCGCGTGGACTCGACGCGCCTAAATTTACAACCGAGAAATGAGTAATCGAGCCCGAACGATCGACTCCGGCCAATTATAAAAATTGCACGGGGTTTCCGATCGAACGTCAACCAATCCCGGGGACTTCTTCTTCTCTCTTCAGTCAGCGTTTAATTAATTACGCAGTAAATCTCGTCCAGGGGGAATAATTCAATGAGTTTGACAGGGCAGCCGGTGCGGCAATAATGATACATAAATGGTTGCTTACCGGCGGAAAGATGACCGTAACTGCCACTCGCGCTGCTGCTCCGCGATCCATTCACGATCGAGGCCAGACTGTTTGGGCTGAATCTGATCATGCTGTCGATGTCGAAGCGATCCGAGTACGGGGAACTGCTCAGTGCCCGTTTCCGGCTTGCTCTGATCGTCGACGCCCTTGGGCTTCCTAGCCTCGACGACGCGGACACTGAAAATTACGCCGTTCAATTTTCAATTTATATCAAACATTGGTAATCTGGCGAACGACGCCTGTGAACATTACAGAGTTCTATCAAGAAGAAGGATGCAATTAAGGAAGCATAAAATTAGATCCAGATTGCGCACTATTTCATCCATCATCTGCCTTTCCTTAGTCGCGTGGGATGCCCTATATAAATACACAATCTACCAATCGTCTGTCGATAGGTCACTCGATTCATTTATCACGAATCCATAGGAAACCAGTCGTGGACGTTTCGCGTTCAGGTGAACGACTCTTCGAGAGTCATTGCCTGTCCGGGCATTAAGGTCTCATTGAGCCCGGGAACTCCAAGAGTCGCATAATTGCGATTCCATAGATTATATTTCTAAACGGAACTAATTTTTAGGATGTAGCTCGTGCAAAGAGGCTAATATCGAGCAGCTACACGATCGTCGACCATCGACGGTACCGGTTCGATTAAGCGCTACGAATTCTTGCACCCCGTTCTATCGGAGAATATTCCTACACGGCCGACGAAGATTTTAATGTTTCACCTTTCGGAGCATGCTCGTAACCAGGTAGACATCCAGAACTGACCGGGGAAGGCGGGGAAAAGAGGACAGAGAAGCGAGGGAGAAGGCCGATTCTGCGGCCAGAGCGTTTTAGCGGCGATTTGCCTGCAACCGCAGCCCAACGACGTAATATACAAACCACTTTCTTAAGCTCGCGGTGGCGGCTCGCTTGTACGAACCATCGCTGGTTATATGCTGGCGGTTCCCCGGCTTCTTCGCCTCCCACTTCGTTCCGCCACCTTCCACGATCGAAATTTCTCCATTTTTGATCAGTTTTTTCTAAGTAATGTTACAATTTTGTGGAGGACTCGTACGATTATAGTTGATAAATATGTCTATTTTAATAGAAAGATTCCGTTCGTATTTAGATCGAGAGTCCCTGGTACCCTTCTGGTTTCTCGTGGTCGGGCCCCGTTCTCTGTTTCAACTCCCTCGCTATTCCTCGGGCTCCTCTATCTCCTCGTGTCGTCTCACACGGGCAACGCGATACAGAGAGCCACGAGGAGGCTCGAACCAGCTCTTTCTCCTCGGTTTCCACTCGGTTGATCGCTCGTTCGCGCACAACGGGTATAGAATTACTCGCGGTCGGGGCCCTCGCTTCTTTCTCGTCTCCGTCTCGCCTCTCGCGAACGCGCTCCTTTATCCCCTTTGCCGGTTATTAATTCGAGCACTGATCAAATTTACGGTGGTCAACGAGCGAACAGACGCGCGAGAGAGACGGAAAACGGCTGCCATGCGGTTTTTCCGCATGAGCTGGACCGTTTAAGGTTCCTCGATGGGTTCTCGTGGTCGGGATCGAGGTCGTTCCGATCCCACCCGACTTCTCGCTTCTTCCTCGCGCGCCACTTTCGGGGTTCTCGATCTTGTTACGCTAGTCGCGTTCTTGTGCAATTTCACGGAACCGCTCGTCTGCGGTTTCTGCGAACTTTGTATCCTTTCGGGGAAACCGAGCGAGTCCGTCGCAAGGGAATGAACGTCTACATTTTTTAAACGTTTCGTAGCTCCCAAGATCCGCATCTTCGATGTTTAAATATTTTTCCCCGGTTTATTTTTGTATTTCATTTAACGATCGAGGATGAAATATTTCTCTCGAACGGACGTACGAGTTTCTGTTCTCGAGCGATCGTTTAACGCGCTTCGGGGCTCACGCAACGGTTTCGCTATCCGGTTCGGCGTGATTTCTCGATGCATTTTTCCCCCCGAGGCAAAGCGAATCGATCTCCTTATCTGTTGGATGCGGAGGGTTGGTCTGCTCGTCGAAGGAGCCTCTTTAATGAATATGCGAACGATTCTCAGGGGCCCCTCTCGCCTCGTCCCGAACGTCCTCGTGACCCACGACCCTCTGGACTCTACACGCTCCGTACGTTCCAATCCCCCTGTACCCCGTGCTCCTCGCGGGGCTAACATGGGATTGAGACATGTAAATTGGTGCAATCGGCCACTCCGATCGGCGCGGCTCATTCGACGCTACTCGGCGCATGCTACCGTGCTACAGGTCGCCTCAAACGACCGATCCGCGACCATTTTTAACGCCTCCTTTCAGACTCACAGAGGAATCTCATCGGTAGAATCACGAGGAATTTGCAAGCTCTTCGATTTAAATCAACCTCGATAGATCGTGACGAAACATTTGATCGATATCTTCCGGAGGGAGTTCATTCGTAGTGGAACTTTTTTTAAATTGTCCATTTGGAGAGAGCAATAGCGTTAGAACCAAGTTGCTTCTTCCCAGTTCTTAAATATTCTTTGAGCTCTCCTGGGGCCTTGTAACGAGCTGCGATTTATCGATCGACTTCGACGCGTAATTCGATCGAACGTCCAGAACATAGCACGAAAACAGGAACCGAAGACTGACACGAAGAAGCAGAGGTACAGGAGGAGAAGAAGTAAGAAGAAGAAGAAACGTGAGACAACCTGTAGGGTAGGCGCTAAGGTGTTAATGAGGTCGTGTCGCTCCGAGTCGATTCAATTATGCGGTGGTGGCGACTAACGAGGCCCCGTTTACCCTTTCAGTCGTCTTTTAGCCTCTCGGCCTCTTAACCGGTCGATCTCCTACCTGCTGCTAGTGCTACTACACCTACGGCTAGCCGCACGTAACGTGCATCAGGATCTTTCATTAGATTCACTTGTCGTCCTCGATCGTCCGATCGAAAGAATCGCCGATTTCGTTCGTCGAAACGGACGGACGTGCAACAATCTGGTATTAACTAATTTCGATGCTGCACAAGGCTGGACTTACTACCCCCGTATTTAGCTAACGATTCGATTGGAAATAGATCTTTCGAGGCAGAAAGAAAACTGCAGCTCACCGTCAATGGAGAAGGGGAATTCCGTGGATGCGAGAGTACTTGCTGGTCCCGCGGCGTGTAGAAGGTACTCGGGCCCCAAACCACCCAGTCCTAGAAACACACCCAAAGAAACGACGATTAACATAAAAAAATGTTCGCTCGATGAAAATCAGGGTTAGGCAAAATGTGATCCGATTACATTTGCCACAAGATTATATGCAATCGCACGGTAATTATCGTGTAACTGTCATCGTAATTGCACACCTTTGAAGCGTGCAAAAAGTATATAATTACATGTAATTTAACCGTGTCAAATGTAATTACATCTGTTGAAAAGTTTGGAACTTGTCGAGTAGGAAGCTTGTATCGTGTGTCGTACACAGCGTCCAATGGATCGCATTCAAAGACCTCGATTCTCAAAGAGTTCCTTCCGGCGGAAATGCGGGTCCTTTTCACCGAGCTTCTCGATGTTCGAGGGGAACAATAGACAGAGTGTTCTACCGATGCTTCCTTTATTAAATTTATCAAAGGACAGACAACGACGATACGAGGAACTGATATCGTAAGCTCTCGTTGCGCGTTGAGAAACGGATCCACGAGGGTTGGCGAATGCAAATTTCCTATTTCATTGCGGACATTGTTATTCGATGAAATAAAACACTGTTCTTTGCTACGCGTAACTTTGCGAAATCTTCGTAGAACATCGATGTCTAGTCGATCCTTTGAGACGCGAATAAACTTGGAGGTCTCCGGGCGACGTCGTTGAAATTAGGCGACGTCCCAGGCCGCTATCGTTCTAATTATCTCGGGGCAGGTACAAGCCAGGGTAATTACCGTGTAACGAGGCGTTGGGACTGTGCGTGGAGGCCTGAAGCTGGTGGTAAAGGTGGTCCATGTAGTTGAGCCGGTAGGCGGGACGCAGGGCCGTATGTTCCGAGAGGGGGTGACTTCTGCGGAGAAAATCACCGCCGGAAGTCCCGTTCCCAGCAGCCCCGCCGCCTCCGCCTCCGCCGCCGCTCGCTCCGCCACCGCCGCCGGTGGCTGCACTGCCGATCGCAGTCGTACTGCTTGGCAATCTGAAACAAACCCTAACCATTAATCCCCCTTCCTTTTTTTCAACAATTCGACGGATTAAAATTATCGTAAACCGATTCGAAAACCACGAAGCACTGTTCCTAGGTCTCACTAGGGGTTTATTCGTTTCTGACGGACCTAGTTTTGCTTCTGAAATCCTGCGATACGCGTTACTTGCAACTGTTACGAATAAAAAGGGTTCTGGCGCAGTCTTTCTTTTGGGGAGAATTAATGGCCTCCTTAAATCAAGGGCTCGGAAGGGATAATCTCCATCGAGAGAATATTTAAATTTAATAACACCTAACCTTCCATCCTTGTTATAGGTGGTACATATTCAAAGATTTCCGAGACAACAGAATCGCCACAGCATCCGTCAACTTGAATATATGTATGCTGCTTAGAACGTTTAAAAAAGCGTGGAACGTTTCGCGGAAAGGGGACAGGATTCGAATAGCAGATTAATCATCTCGAAAGGACAATGCAAAGAAACGAATGCTCGTTTGACGAATGAAAGTGCGACACGCTCAAAGCCGCGACAAATGGCGCGCGTCTCTTCGTCAAAGACTCTATTTTTGTCTCGTTCACGATGGAACAGGTGTCTCCTACCAATAGCGAGCTTCCTTCTTGGACGAGTTTTTTCTCGAAAGCAGATCGAACGTTCTTCTTTTTACGAGACTCTTGGACCGAGATGCGCCACAGAAACTGGCAATTTGAACATACGCTTCGCGACACTCGATCAAACGCCTGTGGTTACCAATGATTATTGACTCAATTATTCTTAAGGATAAAATAAACTATTCTTGGGAAATATTTCGTCGATCGAGGAACGAGAGAACAGAGGCATTTTGTGACAAGGGGGTTCCAGAATGGGGCACGTAGAAAATAGTTTTATACGAGCGGGGTTTGAGAAGATCGCGTTTTGGTCTGGTTGGTCGAAAGATAGAGCGGCACAGAGGAAGAGACAGGAACAGTTCGCGTTTTGACTGACGGCCATTCGCCACGCTCGAATTATCGGGAAATGGCGCGTGTCCCGTACCTTCAAAGATATTCTCTTCGCTCGGTCGCATCGTTAGTGCCTCTTTACGACGATCTCTTGCACGACGCGCGCCCGTACGACCAGGATTCTTCGAGGAATCACAAGGAACGTCAGGTGGCTTGAGATCTTTATTGGAAACTCGCCGAGACGCCTCTGCAGCTGCGAAAGACTCCGAGAAGCTGGAGTAATTCACTGCCAAGGTCGTGCACTCGAGGAATTTCCCCGAGGCCGTGGAAAAGTCCTGCAGGAAATTAAGGAACCTGGCAAGTTCTGATAATTTCAGGGAATATTCTATCGCGAACCCTTTTTTTTAAATTTGTAACACTTAAAAAACATATGTGTCTTTTGATTAAAAGTTATCGAGGAATGTTTAGCACTCTGTGCGTCGTGTTGGCACCGGGTAACAGCGCGACGCGTCTCGACGCCAAGAAGCCAGGTGGGTAAACGCCGGCCAGGGGAAATAGAGACAGCAATTGGCGCGTGTCATAACGTTTTAACGCGTATTACGATGTTTGAGTCGGTCGCTGTCTAAATATTGGCTCCGCACCGACGCGAGTTTGCTGAGCAAAGACAACCGGATCGACTGTTTGACTTTACTTAGAGTCCACGGATCCCGATTACTGACTGCTCGTTACCTGCTTTATGCGGCCCGCTCGTGTTAACAGGTCTGTCGTGTAATCCGCGACGAGTCGCCTCTGAAAACGACGAGTGTCTCTTAGACCCTCTCGTTTCTCCGACACGACGATACCGAGCCAAATTAGCGATCTCTGACAACTTTTCCGCAAATTTCGCAGTTCGGTGCTAAACACGATGGACTCGCGCCGACTGTACGAAGTAATTTGATAAAGAGTTTCGGACTCGATCGAGAAAGATCGAAGCAGCATGTCGAGAAGTTAGAAATTGGCAAGGCTGCGGAAAGCCGCGGCGACGCATCCGGGGGTAAAAATTAGGACGGTTTGACAGGCTGCTTAGTAGCAGGCTCGTAAAAAGCTCGGCCAGGAGAAGGCCAGAGGGACAGGGGACGTAATTACAATGAAAACATCGTCGGCTCCGTCGGCTCGACGTCTTTTTGCCCGTCGTTTTCTGTTCACTCTCCAGGAGAGAAACGGCCGACAGAGAGGAAAAATAACAGGCGAGGGAGGAGGGAACGAGACCGATTCTATTTCGAATCCTGCTGAGTGCCAGATGACTCGAGGTATGGTTCTGCCTCCGACTTCTCCTCTTCCTTCATCTTTTGCCGTCTTCGCGCTCGCTTTTTTCCGCCCCCTCCGCCACCTTTCTTTCCGTCAACCCCTTCAGCTCGCTCTTTACGATTCCTTTCTTCCGACCAGTTTCCTGCTCGTTTTGCTCGCCGTTGATCTTTTACGAAATTCTTCGCGGATATTCGTCGCGCTGACAATGTCCATCGTTTGTGAAAAAGCTTTGGAGATTATACCGTATGCCAATGAAATGTTCATAGCTCCCGTAATTTATAACTAATAACTGGGATAATTTTCGTCACCGACAGAGACAGAGAGGAATGCTTCGTCGTCGCGTTCATTATTTATCCGCTCCACTTTCTTTACGCTTTTCCCGCCCGTTCCTCCTCACCCTTCCAATTAAGCTATTATTAATTTCCCTTTCGAGAGTTGTTTTCTCTTCCTCCGTGCGTTCCTCTTTCCACGCTTTCCGAGTCTGACGGTCGGCGAGGAACAAGGGACACGGAGGGAGGACCGACAGATAAAACTCGAGTCGTTAACTCGACACGCCGGAAACCGACGCATCTATCTTTATCTACGGCCCGTCTGCCAGCGGCCAGGGGTCTTCTTGAAATTCCTACGACTCTCGGCTCCTCCTTGCCGGTTCTTTTCTGTCCCTCGCGAAGGAAAACCGCGCGATTTCCGTTCTGTTCGCTTCGCGCCGGCAGCAAAATAATACAACTAAAAAATTTCAGGTTCAGCAACGGAGAACGTCCCGTGTAAACAGACTTGAACAATTTTACGGATATCTTGGATATCTATTCTTCGTTCTCACGAGAAATATTTCTAGAGTGCCAGAGTATTTCCCGGATAGTTCGTTGCATCGTATCGTTTAGTTTTCGTGGATTATTTCGAACGTATCGCGGCCTTCGTTGCGTCTTAAGTCGGTTATAGTCGAACGGTAGGAAAGGAAGGGGCGGAGGAAGCCGAGCGAAGTATTAAGGGTCGCAAGCTCATTACCACGAGTCGTGGTAATGAGGCGAGTTAAGCGCAGCCCAGAAACATCTGCCACGTTTCCCCGGTGTCTCGAGGCAAAACGAAAAGAGTACGATACCGTCGACAGGATTCTTCCGTATAAGGAAACACCGTAAAAAGACGGCTAGCCAAGTGAAAATGTCTATAGAGATTATTTTTTAAAACGCTCGGTATTTCAGTAGTCCGAAACGTTCTCCCAATTAGCGGGTCATGAAAAGATCGAGGAGCGTGTTTCGTCAACGACAGGTTGACAAAATATTCCACGAATATCTCAGGGCCCTGTAATCTCACGGACCAGTGAAAATCCCAGGCTGACAAAGTATCGGGGGCGTCGGAGCGACAAAGCGACCGCGAAGAACCGAGGAAGCGAGAAACTCACGGCCCCCGGGACGAGTTTCGCGGCTTTGGTTCGGATTAAGTCGGGAGCCTAACACTTCCACGGGGTTTCAGGTTATGATATTTATTGCTTCGGCTTGGTGAACCCGGCTACACGGCGATAAAGAGGGGAAGGAAACCATATGGCTGACGCAGCGCCGCGCCGGTCCCGTGAGCGGCACGCGCTTCAAACGCGGACGCGAAACTGCCAAAGGGAAAGAAAAGGAACGGCTCGCGGGAGAAACGGCCGAAACGCCGTAGGAAAATGGCCAGGAATTCTTTTCGCCGCGTCCCGGGTAACCGTGCATTCTATTTCGATCTAAACGCCGACGGAAAAAGCGCGGGAATTCGCGAAACGGATAGACGAACGCTGGGAATAATTAGAAGGGAGAACGAAAACGCGCGTCCCCGCGGGAGTCGATGAACTCGAGGAAATGTGCTTTGGCGGACGCGCGCGCGAAAAGAAGAAAAGATTTTAATCAGGATCCGACAACGAAGATGCACACCCGCGATTTCGACGATTTTCTGATAATTTCGCGGACCCTGTCCGCGATTCATCTCCCCGACGTTGGCACGCTGCCACCGGCGCGAGAAACGCCGCGCGAATTTCCTACCGCGAAAAGTCGTGAAACCCCCGGAGAACCGAGCTATTCTCCGCGAACGTACAGATATAGTCTTTTAACAGGCATTTTCACGAGGTCGTAGTTCAGTCATGTGGATTTATGTTTAGCGTTTCTCGTCGCTGGTCGCATTGGAAAGCATAAAACCATCCGCGATCATCGGGTCCAGGCCGTAATTTCATGGGACTTTCCGATGCGTGACTGTGTTACATTGATACTTTCAGCGTCGAATAAGTATTCCAGGTTCCTTTCGTTTAAATATTATTACGTACCGAGGATTTATAGATGAGCGATCTATTATTCTGTCTTCCTGTTCGCGTACACACTCCGCGTTGTAACGAACGTAAGAATATAGAAGTATAACTTTACGTTTGGTCACGCTGTGGGAAACAAATTTCCGGAACGACTTGATTTGCAGAAGGGTGACCGAGATTCGCGGAAGTGTTAATTTATAGAGCAAAAAGGTGAATGCGTTAATTTCGAGAGCAAAACCTGTATTAGTAACCGAGAAATACCGGTATTCGTAATACCGACTCTGTTTGGAAGTGCGGCGATCGAACGGCGTGATTAACTCGCCGGCAAGGTGTCCCTCGTCGCGACGGCGAGCCGTAAAAACGGTTTTTCAAGCGACAGGTCGGCCCATAAGTATTCTCTTAATCGACGAGTCACCGCATGAGAACTGGCCCCGGTTGTTTTCGTGACCGGCGAAAGAAGGCCTCTCGGGGGTAAATGAGGGCCTCGTTAATCAAGATATTTAC